TGTACATTTGCCCAGTTTCTGGTCAATTAACGTGCTAAAAACTCAAAAAATATCTCAAAACCGAAAAGCTAACATTTTTGCATGTAGGCCATTCGTCCGTTTTTTGGCGCCTTCTGCGTGCGTTATTCATTTTCGTCCTCTCAACCCTCGCCTTCAATTAAATGGTCCTCACGAACGACGCGCTCGAGGATAGCCGCATTCAGCGAAGATTCACATATGAAAGCCGGGCGTTTCGTCATTGGACGAGAGTCGTTTCAGAGCGGGGCGGCAGGCCACTCCCAAGCGCATCGTTTGGCAGCAGTAAGGGTCGAGGTCCTGCCGGCCTATTTGCAAAACTAGTCCGTTTTTTGAAGTCCGACAAGCCAACTCCAACGGCACGCCGATGCACATTGTCCTGCAATCGACTAGAATACATAGGGCACAGTGGACCACAATTTCCGACGCAAACATTTCACACTCCATTTTACTCGGCACGATTTTGCCCCGCGAACCTCGACTCGCCCATCGTTTTGATCATCGAATGCCTTTTTAGTTCAGGCTTCTAGAGGGAGCTCTGTAACGCCATAAAAGATATCCCTTTCCTTTTATGTACTACTATATTGCTGTTCAGTAGAACATTACTCATGCTTTATTCCCCCTTACATTACGGCCATGTTGGCCTACGTGCGGCTCAATACTCTTCTGCTCCGTGAGTAACCGTGTTGAGGCTTGCTCTTGTCTCGCTTCATTTGTCCACGTCTTTTTGTAGCCCATCGAACAGTCCGCTGTGTCCGACTTCAATTACATTCTGAACTCCGCGCCCCGTCTTGGACTAGTATTCACTAGTCATATACTACGTTTGTATGGTATATCAGAGGAATTTCTATCCAATTTGAAAATGCCATACACATATTAGCGGAGAGAGAGAGGAGGCTGTCTCCTGAATCAGTCATGACAAATGGTCATGGCTGCAGCACCTTGTTCATATCTTTGGCTTGTGATCGAAATGAGTATGGATGAATATCACCGACTATTCCTGTGCATGCTCTGCGGAATAGTTTAACGGAATGCTGGACGTGCAACAGTCTGAAGATTTCCCCAGTTTGCTTGTGTAAAATTGTAACTAAAATTGCTACCTCATTGTATACTTAAGCGATTGGTACGGATTGTTGAACTGCAGGTGGTGTTCGATTGTTTGAGTCGAGCACTTTGCTTGGCGCTCATTCCGGTTCCAACGAGCGATTGCTCTTGTGTGCTGCACATTTTCGTTCCTCTTAGATTACAGTGCCAACGATGTCAACAGGGAACCCATCACGGTAAAAACAAAAGCTTCCCTGCACTCGATCTGCTCCTGGAATCCCTATCTTGGTTCCCGCAATACACGATTCGACATGTAGACCACACACACAAATGTAAAGCGCTGAGCCGACAAGCAAATGATTTCCACCACTGATGAACAACTATTGAAGGCGGTCACCCGATTCAACCATCCGGGCGTTTGCGAAAAGTGTTACTCTAATTACCGAGGTAACTAGGGCAGCTTTTTAAAGCCCAAATCATCTACTAGGACAGAATGACAGCAATTCGTCTGTCAGGAGCACAGAGTAAAGGAACGCGGAGCTGCCGGTGTTAATCTATGGATCACAAACATGGCCAGTGTGCTGGAAGCACTAAGGAGCGATCGCCCTTAGTCACTAGTGCTGGTGTAGATTGCTTATAACTGGTCGGACCACCGGGTGAATAGCGCTGACATTCGACAATCTGGTTTGGGCTCACATAGATGCGCTTGTGTCTGTTGTACTCGAACTGTCCATTTCTGCTTACCTACCAAGCGTCCTACTTTAAATTCATCGTCTATCATCCGATTGATTAAGACCGTAAGGCAAGGATCGCATCAAACAACAGTCTTCCTGATTGGAAATTACCGGATTAGAAAATCACGTGGACGGGACTTATTCTGATATTGCGCTGTCGTAAAGTAGAAGACGTCCTTGTATTTACCTTCCTCATCCAAATATTATTAGACACAGTTTCTCTTAGTTACTGTTCATTGTGATTTCCCCGAATGTTGCCTTACATTTTCCTCAACGTTGGCAATTATTGTTATCGTGCTGACGCGAATAGTGACAAATTGTTCAATAGAAGCTCAGTGAGTGGACGATATGTGTTCAACTGAATAGAACTTGAGATGGGCATATCAGCACAAGGACGTTCGAAGTGGCGCGAACAAAAGCCTTGCTAACATATTTTCAGGGAGTAGATAGGCGCGCTACGTAAAAGCTCCCATGTGGCAACAGTCGAGTTTCCAATGAAGAACACAGAGATGGACGAAAAAGGAGCCCATCACAAAAGTAATCGATCCATTAAATTTGTGGTGAACACGTGGTTGATTTTGGAGAAATATTGTGACACACTCCTATGCACATGATTAACACTAGAACGCCCGGAGCGGTCAAAATGACCGCTCCGCGTTTTTAAATGTGCATATTTTCTACATTTATGGACATTTTTCAAAGATATTTCGTGACTTTTAATATTTTTGGACGTTCTTCATTACTGTGAATTTTCGTTTTCATTCTGTTATAGTTTTCGAGAAAAGAGGTAGCTGTGTTCATACTACCTAGAAAGCCCGTTAGCGGTCAAAATGACCGCTTCTCTCTAATCCGGTTCCTCTTTTTATTTTTAGCCACCACTATCATTTCTGACAGTTATATACTATAGCAGTCAAAACGGGAGTGAAAACTAGCCGAATCACGATTTTACTGTGATATTGTGCGTTCAGTCAGATAAATTCCAGTGACATTTTTGTACACAATGGCACTTCTGAGGAAAACAGCCTTTGAGGTTTTACGAGAACTTACAACCATCGATGACAACAAGTCTGGAGATGAGAACGATTATGATGTTGATGAGGACTCCATCTTCCATGAGTCAGCAGAAGATCACAGCATGTCTGACAGTCAAACGTCTGATGATTACACTCCATATGAGGACCCTAGAGAGTGTATCAACCGATTCGGTATCTCCCGGTGAGCTTCACGTATCGAAAGATGGTAGCACGTGGATCGCAGTGGAGTTCGAAACATCTACTGTTGGTAGGATTCCATCACAGAATGTGTTTAAGGCTAGACCAGAACCAACTCCCTATGCTAAGAAATGTGTGAAATATGGTGAGCTGTCGAACACTTTTGACATCATAATCACGCCCCAGATGCTGAAACATATTCAAGTAGGTACTGAAGCTGAGGCCAAGAGAGTTTTAGGTGTCAGTTGTCAGTGGAGCGTAAGTCTTCCAGAGCTGCGTGCCTTTATTGGCCTACTTTATATCAGAGGCTTCATGGGTCTGAAGAACATGCCGTTGAATATGATGTGGTGCGATAGATATGGACTGCCCATTTTCAGGGACACAACTGGCAAGAACAGCTTCAAAGAAATAATGAGGTTCCTCCGTTTTGACATGCGAACTATCCAATGTGAAAGACTGCTAACTGATAAGTTTGCTTTGGTATCTGAATTGTGGAATGCATTCATTCGCAACTCTCAACAATGCTATGTGCCTGCGCAGAATCTCACAGTTGGTGAGCAATTGTTTCCTTCCAAAACCCGTTGTCGTTTTCTCCAGTACATGCCCAACAAACCAGATAAGTTCGGTATCAAGCTTTGGATGCTGGCAGAAGTAGACAGCAAGCATCTCGTTAATGGATTTCCATATCTCGGGAAGGACGAAACTCGGTCAAGAGGAGAAAGTCTTGCAGAGAACGTGGTATTGCGCTTGGTGTCACGATTATTTGGAAACGGGTACAATGTCACATGTGACAACTTCTTTACATCGGCAGCATTAGGAGAAATGCTGGCCAAGAAAAACACAAGTATGGTGGGAACACTTCGAGCTAATAGAAAGGAAGTACCATCGATTTTGAAGCAAAGAAATAGAGAGCTGTTCAGTTCACTTATGATGAGGAATGAAAATAAGCACACATTAACATCCTACCAGTGTAGAAGGAATAAGAGTGTTTTGGTTTTCAGTTCCCTGCATAGTAACTCTTTCGTTCAAGACTCTGGAAAGAAGAAACCCGAGACTGTGTTGTTTTACAAATCCACAAAGTATGGTGTGGATGTACTCGACCAAATGACAAGAGCACTCACTGTGAAGTCATTATCTCGACGATGGCCAGTCCAAGTCTTTTTCAACGTACTGGATTTGGCTGGCATAAATTCCTGGATAATTTATAACAGTGCTTGCGGAACTAAAATATCTCGCCGGTCGTATCTGGTGGGTTTTTCGGAAGAACTGCTTATGTGTATATATCACACAAGGTACGTGACAACGGGAATTACGACGAACAACTCAGCGGAGTCGGGAAGTCGTGCAAACATTAAACGTCGGCAGTGTCAGATTGGTTACTGTAAAGGTAACAAATCACAAAACAAGTGCTCTGTTTGTGAAAAAATAATTTGCGGCTCATGTGGACAGATTGAGCGAGTTATCACTTGCTTCAAGTGCAAATTGGAGTAGGTATACGGAATTGTTTACAATCTTTGAAAAAAACTAAACCTTAATACAATCATTTTTCTGTTACAGGTATGTTCTATACATTAGTTTTTAATAAATGCCGTGAAAAAATTCTTAACCTAAAGTTGGGATAAAAAAATATAGCAGTGCGGTCATTTTGACCGGTCCCGGGCGTTCTAGGTATAACGGCGGAGCGGTCTTTCTAGTGTTAAGTCCGTGAAACGCTCCAGCTTCCCTTCACCATAACTGGACTGGCCTACCCATTAAAATCAGGTAGAAACTGTTTGTCACTTTTTATTTAATTGTTTCGCAGTTGGGAGACATCTTTCAATAATCTTTGCGATTCTTTATAACGGACTTGAGAACCCTGGAACGACTCGTTTCTACAAATGTTGAGTGCCTGAACGCATCACCTTTGGAAGCGCAAAAGCAACAGCCGGGAAGCGTGTATAAAGAGAATTCGGAAAGCACTGTGTTAATCGCATTCGATGAACACGTCAAACAAATGGGATTTACAAGCATTACCTGGTGAAAATGAACGGTGAATCTGTAGGAGTAACTAGTTAAGTAGAAGTCTGCACGATGAGCCCACTAATAAGCTGAAGTGCAATTAGGACTAGATAAAAGAAGTTGCTAGGGAGAACAATACTATCAAATACTCCATGCTAATTGTTTTAGTAACCCGAGGATGAAAATTAATCGATCATAACGCATATTCTCTTTTGTGTGAAATGGTGTGGCAGGATTTAGTACACAGAAAAAGCTTCGGAAACGCTTTGTAACACTCGAAGATCATAAAGCGTAAACACTGATCGAACAGAGGCTTGTGGCCAGTAGCAGCTGGCAAAGGCATTAGCCAAGACAAAAGATTATTGTTAAATACGAAAGTCAAAAAATAAGACGAGCCGTGACGTAGATACCAAATTTATGCGACAAACTGAGCAACCGAGGCTAAAGTGAGAAACGAAACAAACGCATGCGGACGCGGAGTCACTAGTCAATAAGCAGACATGGATTGATGAAGATGATATGTGAAGAGAGAAAAAAAAGTACAGAGAAGGGAGGGGGTAACTTGGGTACTCATTCACCCTTTCCTCCAGGACAAGAGTAACATCGGACGGAAGACGACCTCGAATGGAGGATTTGGTCAACGCGTCGTCATAGAAGTCGAGGAGAAGAGCAGAGTACAAGTACAAACTGGTTCACATTTCAAGGTGATCGTGCAAAAACACAAATATTGTTTCATTATCCCAAGTCTCAATGTTGTGCACTTCTTCGGGCTCCTCCGCGTGGTTCAGCAAACGCATGGTGGGCACGTGTCCTCGCTCATATCTCAAACGAAGCCCCTTGAAAATCTTACGTTCCTTGGAGCTGATAAAATCTGAAGAAACAATAACAATAACCAATAAAGTTACGATGATGAATAACAAGCGTCGATCGACGATCTACAATATGATTAGCGAACGTTAGTGCATCAGGTCAACCCATCGTGAAGTGTGAAGACGGGTGCATGGGCAGATATTTCAAAAAATTAGATATGCAGTAAACACTTTACAATTCCAGCCGACCGTTGCGGCAACCACTGGAGGCAAGCCCTGTGACAAGGCGATCAATGTAAGACTAAGGGCAAATGGATATCAGCAGTACACCGGCACGCAGATATATGATCAGCAGTCTATAAGATAGACATAGAGCCAACGAAAACCATGAACTGGAAGTAATACAGAGACCATAAAGAAGAAAAAAGGATGAACGTTAGAAAAGCCTTTTTATTTGTGAGTCTTTTTTGTCTTTTTTTCACACGCCGTTTTATATTTCTTGTCTGTTTAGTGCTTGCAATGGAAATCATGAGAATCAAGACAAATATTCGTACACATTTCCCATTGGGGCCGGTTCTAAGCTATATTCGAAAGAGTTTCCAGCTAGCAGTGTTGTTCATCTTTGATCCCCCAGCCCGGAAGACACACCGGACCTACGACAGCTAAACTGGAAGTCAGTGCTTTAATCGTTTGCCGCCACGTGACAGGCTGACTACCGCGGGGTTTCTTCCAGCCTGGTCATGTACGAGCGAAGAGAGCGCGTCGGGGCAGCCGTTCGCATGGCATGCGTAAAACGTGGCCCAGCCATCTCAGCTGGCGAAGCGATACCAGTATGTCAAGTGGAAGTCCCATGTTACCCAAGACGCGACGTCTAACATTGTTGTGCACATGGTTCATCCACCACACTAGAGCTATATTCCGCCGGCATCCATTGTCAAAGGCCGAAATCCGACGCAAGTCATTCACACGAATCCGCCAGGACTCACTCCTATACAGCAGCACCGCGCTAACACAGGCATTGTAGACCCTGCCTTTTATTAATAGTGAAACGTCACCACAAACGCCTCAAGTTGGCGAACGCCGAACGGGCTTTGGCAATGTGAAGGGAAATCTCTTTTCCGATGCTACCATCAGCAGAGGCACAGCGTCCCAGGTAAACAAAGTTGTCCACTTGTTCAAGCTGCCTGGTGGATGCCAATCAAGTACCAGGAGTTTGCATTTCGTAGGAGCAAAGGTTATGCCATATTTTGATGCCTCAACCGCCAAGCGGTTTAGAAGAGCCTGTGTGCTCTGTGCGTCATCCCCAAGCAAGGCAATATTATCAGCATAATCTAAATCGGTCACACGGTTGCCAGGAAGAAGCTCTACACCAGAACCCTGAAAGCCCCAGAGAGTGCTTAAAAGGACATCCTCGATCGCAAAATTGAAGATAAACGAGGACATGGGGCAGCCCTGTCGTAAACCGGTGGTGACGGCAAAAGTTGAAGAGAGCTTACCGTAAGCCCTCACTTTACGTGAGACATTGCAATATAATGCTTGAAGGATGGTGATATACTTTTCGGGTACTTCATTCCTTTGTAAGGAACGCCATAAAGCTGACCGATCGTCGGAGTCGAAAGCGGCTCGGATTTCCAGAAAAAGTATATAGACTATATCAAAACAACATATCAAAAAATCATAGCGGAATGACCATGGAAAGTACAACATATTCAAGTGATTCGTTATTAAGCAACAAGAACATGGGCAAAGTATCATGAGGGCGAAACATTGAATAGTTGCTTGCACATGAACGGCCACGATGGAACACTTAAATCGTGTAAAGAGGTAGATAAACAGAAGAGCTTTGACAAAATCCAGGGGCGATTCTCAAGTGGAAAAGATAATTCATCAAGGGACCGCTGGTCCCAGTGGTACAAGCATGGCCCGCCAAGTGTACGAGAGGTAATTTAGCAAAAGAACGATTCAACGGACTGAAAATACTAATGCGGTCAGAGTGAGCTCGGGCCAAGTGAGTAATCAACAGTGGTTCAAAAACTGAGTGACGCATCCAGTCGGCCTAGAGCTCAATCAAAATCATGGTAAAAAATAGCAGACGTAACAAAACTGAAGTAGAAGCTCAAATGATTCGACTGCTGGGTTGCGGCGAATTTAACTGCCTTGATTCCCGGCACAAAATGATTAATAACAGCACATTAGAATTCAAGAGGAACAAGTGGAACCCCAGTCGGGTGGAGTACTTTAGAACTAAAAACAGGGGAACGGACGTAAGTGTATCACTGAACTCGTGACTTCACCACATTCGAACGAGACAGTACCGTTTGACAAGAGTTCATCACCTGTAGTCTTGCTCACAAATTACAACTTTTCCTGATTAAAGAGCAGGGATCTATCGATGAAGCTAACTGATGCTAGTGGTGCACACCGCTAGTCCTTTAGCCTAAAGGTGTCAGTTCACATTGGATCATTAAATGTCTGCACTCTGGGTCAGGTGATGCTAAAGCTCACCCTTCACTCCCTTGGAGATCGATCAGTCTAGCCGAAGCAAATGTCCGCAACAACCTGAAAAGGTATCTGACTAGAGGACTTATAATTGAACAGTAGCGTTCGTAGGTGGAGAGCTCATCAGATGAAGAAAGCTGGCGCGGCTGAGAACAGCCGAGTACTGCATTCACTCGTAAGAAACAAGAACAAAACATGTTGTGAATGGGACAGAAACTGGAAAAGATGGGCGTCCGATTCACAACCATTTGAATAATTGGTTAGGTGGAGCATTGGATGAACGATTCAGCAGTTCTGTTGCGATACCAACGCTTACTGAAAGAAACCAGTTCACGAGGGAGGCTGATGTTACACTTCCCGCTTCGACATAAACTTAGACTGTTGAGGTGAAAGAAGGCTCCTGGACCCAAGGTTCTTCCTCCGGCTTTGCTGAAATGTATTGGTGACTCAATGATGAACGGGCAATCTGCTTAACACCATGAAAATAATTAGAGATTTTCGCGCAAAGTCCTCAGGACGATGCGGCAAGTCATACGGAAAGCCAGGCCAAAAAGTCATCAAATAGTGAGACAATAGTCGAGAAGGATTGACAATTCATCCATTTTAAGCCGCGTCGACTAGCTCGTTGGGCGAAACATTTTAAAAAGCAGTTCAGCAAGCGTGGAACGAATTTTGTCGCTTGCTCAGTTACCGGAGCCTATGCGGGAAGTTGATGTCACACGTCCCACTTTGTATAAGTATCGATATGAGCTTGTTGAAACGAAACATATCCCCTTGGCTATACGGACTTTCTCCATTGTTGCTGAAAAATGGAGGTGAATCTTTGTTGGCTGGCCTTGCCGCTCCATTCAACACTAATTGTGACAATGAAGAGGCATCTTCAGAATGATTAACAGATATCCTGCAAACCAGCAAAATGTCAAAGAACTCTGTGCAACAATCATTGAGGCATTAGGTGTGTTTGTATTGCCTCCAGACTTCGCAAAGGTATCATTCTTCGGTGAATAGCTAGTTCTCATGAAGGCCGAATTAGTGAGAACCAGGCTGACTTCTGATCTGGACGTCGGCGCATTGACCACATATTTGTATTTCGCCAAGTTTTAAAACAGAGCTTATAGGCAACCGTCTTTGATATTTTTATTTGATCTGATAACCGCCTTCGACAACTTACTGATGCTAGCTTGTGATGCTGTCTATCTATGAAGAGCTTGCCAGTTAAAATCCTTTATGCTCTGAGACCGCTTTATCGTGACTTCCAAGAAAACGACAAGTCATCTTCTGAGCTCCTCACAACAACTGGAGTCCAACAGGGTGTCCTATATGTCCCATAGTGCTTAATTTATGAGTAAAGTGATCACAAATCATGCTGTCATCACATTATCTCCCTGAATGGAAAATCTGCCTGTAGTTAACTGATAAACCCTGAGTATACGAATGACAGCTATTCGTGGGTCTGAAGCCATGTCCATGCATTCACTACTGAACAGAAAGGCGCGAAGCGCGGAACGCTTCGGCATATGCTTTGCATCTTCAAAGGACAAAATACTGTTGCAAGATTGAACCGATACGCCACTGGTTCTATCAGCGAACAGCCATCGGAAGTTGCCGATGGGCACACTTACTTTGGTAGTTGTGTCAATGCTAGTGGTCATATCATTGAGAATGCTTAGGTATGAGAAGAGCCCGTGAGGATTTTTAGTCTCAACCACCTATGAAGACGTTGGGATAACATTCGGTCAACGGTTAAATGTACAATATCACTATAACATTGGTATCGCTGAATGGATTACTAACATCACCAAATCGCATTGGATACGTCATACCAACGGTCGTTTTCTATTACCATTGATTGTCGAGTATTGTTCAAATCTGGTAGGAACACCCAGTAACCAATAACGATGTCTACCAGAAGAAATTAGCTGGAAAATTCTCGAATACCGCGCTAGAGTGTCTACTAAACTTGAACCGCTTACGCTGGCTAGGTCATGTTCTCCAGATGCTCGTCGACGGTGGTTCTCGCTGCACCCAGTTTGGTCAAAACGCACAGTGGCCAGTCCGTGGCGTCATTCATTCATTCATCCATTATACACGTTAGCTAGAGGTGGGAAACACTTCAGCTACTGTGTCGCAATATATAAAATAAAAAGAACATGCAATAGATGCATGCCAGCTGAGCTACCAGTAACGGATGGGCATCGTTCCAGAAAGCTACCAACCGGCTACTATGCAGCAAAAAAAATTATGCAAAATTTCATTAAGCTAAGAAGTGAGATCGTGGTTGGAAAGGAAGGCTAAGAGGGATGGGGTGGGACAAAGAAACTCACAGCATGAACGCCACTGAGGTCGGCTCCTAGCCATATCAGCAACTGTGTCCAGCCAAACGTATTCAGCGTCTTTCGGACCCCAGCCAGAGCCGAGACGCTCCAACCGAGGCCAACTCCGAAGTGAGGGCCTTCATTACTCTCGACCAAGTCATCGCTTGGCCACCACACCTTTTCTTTCATCCACATCGCAGGCGCACAGGCAACGCACGTCGCGGGAGCCGGTGGGCTGACATGCATAA